GAGCAAAAATGAATATACTCGACCCGCCCCTGGGGTCAAAAAACAATTTTGATAAACCAGAATCATCCACAAACTACTCGAGCAAAAATGAATATACTACCTCCCCTTTAAGTCGAAAAACCAATTTGACGAAACCAGAGTCAAATAAAATCATCGACCTGCCACTGAGATCGAAAACGTCAGATACCACGGAACCAAATCGAATAAAACCATTAACCTGCTCGAGCTATCTGTAATGAGCTCCATCTTGACCTGCCACTGAGGTTAAGGACAGATATGCAATAATACTAGATCAAACAGAACTAAGTAGAAATCATCGACCTGTCACTGAGGTCTGCTCGAGCTATCCGTAGCGAGTTCAATCGACCTACCACACTGAGGTCAGAGGCATAAATAGCACGAAACCCAATCAAATAAATATGTTAGCCAACACTAGGATCGACCACCCAGCCCGGAGGCCTTAGTCATGGTGGATTTCGTCTTCTCTCAACCTGCCACTAGGTTAGGAACAAATGTACAATGATAACAAACCAAATATAACCAAGAAGAAATCATCGACCTGCCTCTGAGGTCTGCTCGAACTATCCGTGTCTTCACGACCCAACAATAGGATCGACCACCCAGCCCGGAGACTTTAGTCATGGTGGATTTTGGCTTCCCTCAACTTGCCACTGGGTTAGGAATAAATATACAATAATACCAGCTCAAACAGAACCGAATAGAAATCATCGACCTGCCTTCGAGGTCTGCTCAAGCTATCCGTGTCTTCACGACCCAACACTAGGATCGACCACCCAGCCCGGAGGCCTTAGTCATGGTGGATTTTGGCTTCCCTCAACCTGCCACTGGGTTAGGAACAAATATACAATAATACCCGATCAAACAGAACCGAATAGAAATCATCGACCTGCCTCCGAGGTCTGCTCGAGCTACCCCTGTCTTCGCACTTGCCCACCCAATCCGAGGGATGTACGAAACAGGGGGTCAACCTGCCCATCCCAAGGGGTGTACTAAACAAGCGACCACACAGCCCGGAGGCCTTAGTCGTGGTGGAATTTGTCTTCAGACACTTGCCGACCCCGAGGGGGCCTATCGAAACAAGCGACCACCCAGCCCGGAAGCCTTAGTCATGGTGGATTTTTGTTGTTCTTCTCTTCAGGCACTTGCCCACCCAATCCGAGGGATGTACAAAACAGGGGGTCAACCTGCCCATCCCAAGGGGTGTACTAAACAAGCGACCACCCAGCCCGGAGGCCTTAGTCATGGTGGAGTTTGTCTTCAGGCACTTGCCGGCCCCGGTGGGGGCCTCGAAACAAGCGACCACCCAGCCCGGAGGCCTTAGTCATGGTGGATTTTTTTTCTTCGGGCACTTGCCCACCCCGAGGAATGTTCTAAACAGGCGACCAACCTGCCCACCCCAGGGGGTGTTCTAAACAAGCGACCACCCAGCCCGGAGGCCTTAGTCATGGTGGATTTTTTCTTCGACCTGCCACTGAGGTCAAACAGAAACACATCGAGCACAACAAGTTATGATAGCAATTGATCATCTTCGTTAGTATCATCAAATGTATAATTGCGTCGAACGAGATAAAAAATGTTGAATGTATTTTTCTACCTCCCTTTCCTGGTTTTGCATGGTAACGTGTGCTCGAATTCTTCGACCTGCCACTGAGGTCGAAAAGGAAAACATCGAATATGACAAGATAAAATAACACCCAATCAATTTGTTAGTCATCCAAATAATAATATCAACCATGTCGATATGCATCACAATCTTCCCAACAGTTTGTCCAAAGTACACAAAGAATGACCATAAACCCCTGCCGATTAAACACGACCACCGAACAAGAGTCGAGAATAGCTTTGTACCTGAAGGTCGAGAATATCGCTCCAAATTGTCTTACCTCTCCAGAAGAGAATGATTTTGCCTTTGAGATTGCCACCGGTGATCGACCTCATCTATCCATGCTCGTTCATTTTGTCTTCGATACTCGACAGCTCGTCCGCCATAGCTTGTCAAGACTTGGATTATTTTGTCGTTTCCTCGACAGAAATTCAAATATGTCCACGAATAAATCACATAATCACTCGAGCAAATTAAATAATCATGCACAAATAAATCAAATAGCACCTCCTTAGTTCAAATAATATCTCCTCGAATAATTCAAGTAATGTAACCTCGAGCAAAACAATATCTCCTCAAGCAAATCACATATTTCCGCGAACGAATCAAATATTTCCACGCATGAATCGCATAATTTTGCACGAATAAATTGGATACATCCACGAATAAAACACATAATTCCCCTCGAACAAAGCAAGTAATTCCACGAACAAATCAAGTAATATTTCGAGCAAATCAAATAATTCTCCTCGAACGAATCGAATAATTCCACAAGCAAGTCAAATAATACTCCTCAATAAATTGAATAATCATCACAAATAAATCCAATCATCGATCGAGCAAATCAAATAATTCTCCTCAAATGACCAAGTAATTCCACGAATAAATCAAATAATAGCTCGATAAAATCGAATATAATCCTCCTCGAACAAATCGAATAATTTCTCAAGCAAGTCAAATAATACTCCTCAGATAACCAAGTAATTCCACGAATAAATCAAATAATAGCTCGATAAAATCGAATATAATCCTCCTCGAACAAATCGAATAATTCCTCAAGCAAGTCAAATAATACTCCTCAGTAAATCCAACAACCAATTTTCCACGTCAAATAATTCCCACGAATGATTCAAATAACGTCCTCTCGAGCAAGTCAAATAATATCCACGAATAAGTCATATATATACACGAGTTTACCACATATTCTCCACGAATAAATCAAGTATTTCCACGAATAAAGCAATATTCTCCAAGAACGAATTAAATGCCTCCACAATCAACCCCCATAATTTATCAATTTTCACTCATTTTAAAATCCTCAAGTCTTCAAATTTAAATTAGTCACATACCTCCATTACGAGAATAATGTCTCAAATTGCATTACCTTTCCCTTTTAATTGTCTGGAACTAATTTTAGGCACAAAATTAGGCAATTTGGCGATTTTGGACCACTTTTGGGCCATTTGCGCTGGTCTGGTACGAAATGGGGCACTGTGAACATCAAATGGGTCGAACTGGACTGAGATGGAGGCATCTGGGCCGCGCTACATGGAGCTGGGCCGCGGAAACAAGGGGTTGGGCCGCGTCGTTGGGCTGGAGAAGCATGGGCTGGAGCTGGGCCTGGAGCGGGCTCTTCGCGGGTCAGATGTTGTGCTGCATTCGGGCTGGGGCGCGGGCTAACACAGGCTGGAGGCTGGGCTGCATGCGGGCTTGGGGGTCGGGCCTGGCGCGGGCTGCGCGGGCTGAAATCTGAGGGTGAATCGGGCTGTGAAGCGCGGGCCGAAATCTGTGATGCGCGCGGGCTTCGTGGGCCGGATACGGCTCGCGCGCGCGTTGCTGGGCTGGAGAGGCTTCTTGCAGGACTCCTTTGTCGGGTCCCAATCGACTGCTACTGGGCTGCGTACAACTGGGCCGTACTTACCATCTACTAGGCCGTGGGAGACGGGCCTCCGCGCTGGGCTGGAGGGTGCGAGCCCGCCTGGACCGAAAATGGTTGCACTGGGTGTGCCATGTTGAGATCTGCTCCAACAACGGCGACGGAAAATTTTTCCCCGACGATACCTCGCCGGATCCGGTGAAAACGACAGGTAGGGCGAGCGCCTTGACAAGGCGATTCCAATGGCGTACTCGCTTTGCATTGGTTCGCCGGAAATCGGCATGAAAAATGGAGAAGATGACCATATTTTGACTAATTTTTTGTGAGATCCAAGAACTTTGACCGGCAAATTGACGGCCTTGCCGGAGGAATTTTTCCATGAAATTTCAAGGATAGGACGAGCACGACGAGAGCTTCGCGATGGTGTAGAGATTTTTCAGATTGGGAAACTTTTGTCGGCGGCGGACGACGGCGGGAGCGGCGGTTTCTGGCGAAGGTCGGTAGCTGGAGATTCCTCTCGTCGAGAGAATTCCGGTGGTACCCTCGGATTTTTCATAGCCTTCCCGGATCGTCGGGAAAACGCATTTGAATGCTCGATTTTGACCAAAATTTCACTAGATCTGGAAACTTTGACCGCAAAATTGAAGGCCTTCCCGGAGGAATTTTTGCACAAAATTTTAAGGGTAGAATCACCTTGAAGAGATCTATCCGACGATGTAAACGATTTTCCGATCGGAGCACGTTTTCCGGCAGCCGGCGGCAGAGGTGGCGGCCGGTGGTGGCGGCGGCCGGTGGAGAAGAAGGAGGTTTTTGAATTTTTTCAGTCGGAACTCCGCTTGACTTTTTTACGGGTCCCCACAGACGGGCCAATGAAGTGAATAAGATTCACCCGAGCTCCTTCAACTCGAACCGGCCTCCGTACCTGCAGAACCCAACGCCGGGGGTGGCCCCGGCGTCGGGCCTCCGATGCTTAAGTCAGTGCTCAAATCAAGAGAGAGAAAGTGTAGTAATGTAATGAGGAGAGGATGAGAGAATGAGGTACCTTGGCCCCCTTTTATAGGGGGAGTGTACCTTTTGGGCCCAAGTTGGGCTTAGATGTCTTAGTGGACTTATCTTCCAATATGTATCCGCTTTATCCATCAAACCGGGTCCAGTATAATATCCTATATCAATATGCTTTTGGGTCGTAATACTTAGAGTTTTGAAGCTCATCTCCGTGTTCCGTCTTGGCTCCTTCGATTGGGCGAACAAACTTTCCCAAGGGCTGCGTGGTTGGTTTCTTGGCGTCGAGGTTAGGTAACGGTAATACCAGTCCATCCAGAGGGTCTTTCCTAGCGAGATTCTTGGCTTTCTTCCCTGTGGCATCATTTTGTTGTTTGATGGGAACATCTTTCGTGCCAACAACCTTAACCTCTTTAAAATAATACTTAGCATCAGCAAGATAGGACTCAGCTTCAGTAAAAGGCTTATCGTCTCCAAGAACTTTCCTTACTATGCCACCTTGGTAGTATTTGAAACATTGATGCCAAGTAGAAGGCACCACTCCATACTCATGCAACCAAGGACGTCCCAATAACATGTTATAAAGGGTTTTGGCATCTATCACATGGAAAAGAGCATTTGAAGTCATCTCCCCGATTACTAACTTCAATCTAATTATGCCTAGAGCTCGTTGCCCTCCTTGATTAAAGCCTTGAATCATCTGTCGACTATTCGAGAGTTCATCCATCGGGATCTCCAATTCTTTTATAGTACGCAGAGACAAAATATTCACGGCAGAACCTCCATCTATTAATATGCGATTCACTTTTCTTTTGCGAGTGTAACCAGTTACGAATAAAGGCCTATTATGGGGTTTTGAGCCCAACAACAAGTCTTCATCTGTGAAGGTGACTGCCGCATCGTTGTCTTCATGATCACATCGTTCTTTGTCATCAGCCGACTCCTCATCACTTGGGACATCATCTTGCTCGCTCGCCACATTACAAGTGAAACCTTCAGTTCCTTCCTCGCAGTTCACAATTGAAGCAAAGTTCGCAGTCCCTTTGTCTTCTTCAAGTGTTATCTTGCCCTGTCGTGCCAGCTGCATAACTCTATCTTTGAAGACGAAACAATCTTCGATGGAGTGACTCACCAAACGATGATACTTGCAGCATTTTGGGTTGTCAACTTGTCTTGCTTCTTTAGGTCGTTTCATCTCCGGCAGTTCGATAAGTTGTTCTCGAATCAAGTCGTCGAAAATTCCAGAAACATCAGAGTCGAGGAAAGGATATTGTTTGGCTTGCATCTCTTTCAGGGTTAATTTTTTTTGCCCCCTTTCTTGAGGAACTTCTTTCTTTTCCACAGCTTTCTCGCTTGTGTTTCCCTTGAGTTTGATAGGCCTTGCATTGACTGCCATTGCTTCCTTTACTTCTTTGTTAGGTGGTCTAGAGGAAAACTTGCCCCCTTTCTTGGCTTCATTTCGGTCCTTGAATCTTTGAGGCTCATGGACAGGTGGATTCTTGACCTCGCTTGCAGACATGCTTAACTCCATATCATGTGCACGAGTGGCTAGCCCTTCAAATGACTTCGGCTGAATCCCTTGCAAAATGTATCGGAGACCCCAGTGCATTCCTTTAGTACACATTTCGATAGCCGAAGCTTCAGACAGTCGATCCTTGCAATAGAGGCTCAGATTTCTCCATCGGTTGATGTAGTCAATAACAGGCTCTTCATCCCATTGCTTTGTATGGGTGAGCTCAATCATGCTGACCGTCCTTCGTGTGCTGTAGAAATGATTGAGAAACTCTTGCTCTAGTTGCTCCCAGCTATCAATAGAATTCGCCTCCAAGTCGCTATACCACTCGAACGCATTTCCCTTTAATGATCGAACAAACTGCCCAGACGATCTCCATATGTTCCAGCATCGTTGCAAGTCTCAATGAAGGGAGCTATGAGCTGTTTCGGGCTACCTTTACCATCGAACTGTTGGAATTTTGGTGGTTGATATCCAGTCGGCATCTTCAAACTATCAATCCTTGGGGTGTATGGCTTCGAATAAGTCAAAGATGACTTGGAGCCTCCGTCGAATTTGTCCTTGATGGTTCCCATGATGAACTCTTTGAGTTGGTCAACTGTATGTGTCCACTTGAAGAAACGTGGATTTCTGACGAAGACTTCTCTTTTTCAGCTTGTTTCACCTCATCTTCTTTAGAAGTTTCTTCATCCTCATGTCTTTCGTCCTGCTTGTCCTCAGCACGGCTAGTCTCAGCTTTGTCGACCCTTTCTAGCAACTTTAAAGTTGTGGAGTCTTGATTTTGGACATGTTTCATCAGCGTCTCCATAGTTTTTGCCATGGCTGCAAGTTGCTCTTCAATGGTTGATGCATTCGTCATCATAACATGTGCCTCCGTTGAGAAAGGTGTTGATGAAGAATCGTCCCTCAAATCTTCCTCTTGGTTCATCAAAGGCGGCCGATTTTCCTCAACTTGGTGAGAATTTCCTTCCAGAGATACACTCTTATTCTTTGTCATGCTTCTTGTTACGACACCAACACTTTTACTTGCAGAACTTGAAGAAGTTGACTTCAAAGGAGTCATCGTTGCACTTAGATTCCTTGAAGAAAAGAGATGAGAGGTAGAGAAGTCCCACTGGGCGTGCCAGAAATTTGTAACGCAAAATTTCGTATTATTGAATTAATAAACACGAGAACTCCGTACAAATGGATTTCTACGGATCAAAAGAAATATAGTGGATTACAAATCTCTATTATTCCTCTGATTAATTTCTTCAAGAGCGATCTTCAAATGATTTGAGACTTTTGGAGACGAATCTTCAGTTTGATCTTCGTCGGTCTTGAATATGGATTTAAATAACGTTTCTTCGAGGGCTTGACAGCTTGATCTCGATCGAACGTCTTGATTTCCCAAGAACGTGATGAACACGAATCCTTGGTCTTCGCTGCAAAGTTGATTTTGATCTTCTCTACGCCGGTATTGACTTTAATAACGTAATTCGGCGGCTTGACAGCTTGATTCCGGATTGAACGTCGGTTTTGGGTTTGAATGCGCTTGAATCTTCCTTCGGATCTTCAAGAACACCTTTGAATCTTCAAAACACTTTGACTTTAATAACGCAATTCGGAGGCTTGGCAGCTTGATTCTGGATTGAACGTCGGTTTTGGACTTGAACGCGCTTGAATCTTCCTTCGAATTTTCAAGAACGCCTTTGGATCTTCAAGAACACTTGAATCTTGTGTAGAGAATTCTCTAGAGCTCTTGAACTTGAAACTTGAATATGAATTGTGATTTTTCACCTTAGGGAGAGCCCCTATTTATAGGTGTTAGGAGAGAGAGTCTTGGAAAAGAAGACTTCAATTTGATTGGTCCATAATTTCCAATATTTATCTTTTAATATTTATTTAAAGAGATAATTAGGAGAGAGAGTCTTGGAAAAGAAGACTTCAATCTGATTGGTCCATGAATTTCCATTTATTTATCTCTTTAATAATTATTAAAAGAAATAATTATTTATTTTACTCTCCAATTACATGTGGCATTCTTTAATTGGCCAACAATATATATTAATTAATCAATTAATTAACTATTTAATTTAGGAATTAAATATTTGATTAATTTCCCAAATAAAATAGAAAATTATTAAATTGACTATGACATGGAATTTGACACTTGTCGCCATTTCATTGGCTCAAAATTTAATTGCCTACAAATAGACAAATTACTTTTTTCTAGGTGGCATGATCATTGTGCAATGGACAATGTACAAGGAAATCTTACAAATGGGAAGGGCTGCAAATCATTTATCTTTCATTATTTTTATTTTTATTTTTTTGTTTTTTTTTTTTTTGTTATGTAATATGTATTTGTAATTACTCCTGCAGTACTTTGCTCGACAAGTACATGTAAGGAGGTACATAATTGCTTCCACAGAGACGACGATTTTAGCAATATAAGCCTTGTGATGTATCAGTAGCGATAATGATGAACTAACTCTCGGGAAAGAGAAGATGTTGCTTTCGGTAACTGTTTCATTAAGTAACGGTAAGCCGCTTAGATACAATTTGATTATATCTTATATTTGTTTACTTTGACAATATTACATTTTATCAATTATTATTTGCATAAGTAACTTTTAAATATTTTATTGTAGGCGTGAATGTGGATAAAATAAAAGAAGATATGTTGAACAAAGGAATAATGAAAATGTTCCTAATAGAGAAAAATTGCAAAATGTGGTTTGATTTGACTGAAGATGATGTTGTCCCAACTGTTGTTGATAAACCAAAGCGTGACCTGCCTAAGAGCATCTCCAATGTTCCTTACAGATATTTTTCATATGTGTCAAAGGCATGCTTTACTTTTTAGTTATTGGGAGAACCCAAGTACTCTCTTTCCGATTCAGGAAACAACTATTACAGATCTTTTCAATTTTTAGTTCTTACAGATATTCATTACTATTACATTATGTTAGGCTAGAATGGGCAAAAAAGAAGATATACTATAAAGAAAAGTATTTCTCCTGTCAATAAATTGATATACAATTTTCAATAAATTGATACAAGTAAATTGCATTACATATTATTTCTACATTTTTAATAAATAGATATTATTTAATAAGAAATATAATTTATAAATATTAATAAATATCTTTTACTCGTGCATCACACGAGATTCGTACTAGTGTATATATATATATATATATATATATATACATATATATATATATATATATATATAGAAGAGATCATATGAGAAAGAGAGATAGTGAAAGAAATAAGAACAATTATGGACCATTAGATCTATGAAGTGAGGGGCCATGATCAAGTCAAACTTTAATAATGTAGTCAAACATGTGATGGCAAGATAGTAAATAATTGAACATGCTAAGGGTAAATATGTACCATTATACATTAAGTAAGGATAAAAAGGACATTTCCACTCTCCACTTATCCACCCATGCGGGCCCCACCCATCCCACCAAGCATCACCCTCTCTCACACACAAACACACACTCTTCCTCTCACATACGCACGCACACGGGCAGACGCACACACAGTAGCTCCGCCGGAGGCCCGGAGCTCATTAATTCCACCGCCGGTCGTCATCAATTCCTCCACCGATATCGTCGCCGCCTTCTTCCATCCATTACGGCGTCCTACATCATCTCATCGGCCGCGCAGGAGGTCCAGCTGCCGCCATGGATATCACCGTAAATAATGCCCAACTCACGAACGCCGTCGTCGTCCTGACAGAGAACGTCGCCGACAGGTTCTCGTGCGTCTTGCTCGTGTGACTCCTCGATCTGTAATTTGAGTATGGGGGCTCGGTGCCATCATTGATTTCGAGGTTCATCTCTGTATACGACGTCTTCTTCCCGAGCGAGGATCTTCTCCGGCGGGATGAACAGTGGCGGCATCGCTCGTGGATGAAGTGCTCTTACAGCAGATCTAATTTAAATTTTGGACTTGCAAATTGAAAATTTGATTACTCATAAGGGCTTAGTTGCAATTCTAAAAAGTTTGATATATTGCAATTTGGTTCGGGTCAAATATGTAATTTTTCTTTGGGTTGAATATTTATTCTTCCTTTCTGGTTTTTGTCTTATTCTGTTTAGCTAGGGGTAAGCATCTGAGTATTTGTTTTTAAAACTTAGTTTGGGTGGTTTTTGTACTTCTTTGTACCATGCTATAGTTTCAGTAAAAAAAAAAAAAAAAAAAAAAAAAAAAAAAAAAAAAAAAAGGACAATTGTGTAATTTATAATAAATACATCAAATGCACAATAATGATAAAAAACATACACAATAGACACTACAGAATGCACAGTAATGTTCATCGGTCGGTTTGGTCGAACCGATCAACCGGAATATTAAAATTTATGTTTGTTGCTTCTCGTTTGATTTTGTGCAATATGGTAGACATTCATGTGCAATCCGTATAACTTTAATGTGCACTCACAACACATAAAAATTATAGATAAAAAAAATAGTATTATTATTTCATAAATATATAAATAAAAAAATTGTAATACTCTTCTTATAGTTCGGCATGTTATATTACTTTTTCTATTTAAAAAAATATAAATTTGCCATTTAACCAACTAATTTATTCGATCAATTAGCAGATTTACTATATTTTTGGTACGTGTAGCGTGTCGTTTTATAGGTGCAACATGTTATATTATAAAGTGCAAAGTATCTATGTATAAAATGCAATGTATTAATATATAGTGTGCAATAATGTTTGGTATGTTAGCATGCTTGTGTTTTTTTGTGTATATATGATATGACGAGTATTAAAGCATTATGTAGATTCATTTTTTAGATTTATATTGCGTAATATTTTGGCGGTAGTTGTTTGACATTAATTGTTGGGGGTGTGGTGATAAAGTGCAACATGTTGTTTTATAAAGTGCATTGTGTTGTTTTATAAAGTGCATTACTTTATATCTTCCCTAATTTTCCTAAATAAATTATGTGCGACAATTAGTTTTAATAGATTCAATTGTACATCGGATTAACCTAAATAATTAAAATATATTTTTATTTATTATTTTTATCATATAATTTACTTATTTATTTAAAAAACACTAATTCTAAATTTGACAGTTAACCGACTAATATTATTCGACATATTAGCGATATTAACGAATTGTTAGTATGTGTAGCGTGTGGTTTTATACGTTGTAAAATGCTGTTTATGTAACATATTACTGTATAAAGTGCAACGTATTAATTTTGGTATGTAAACATACTTGTATTTTTTTAGATAGACAATGATAAAGTACAACCTATTATTTTATAAAGTGCAACATGTTATTTTATAAAGTGCAACTGAAAATTCAATAGAGTAAGACATAAATCAAGAATATATAATATGTTACAATGGAAGGAAGCAAAATTAAAAAACATGGGGTGCATTGAAATTCTTTTTCCACGAAGTCAAAGGCCACCCGCCTTTAAGAAGCACAATAATAATAAAAAACAAATAATGTGTAAAAAAATATTATAAATACATCAAATGCACCATTTTGTGTCTACCGTCACTCGTCAGCACCATTTTTTCTTTACATTATTTTTCCTTTTCTATCTTATAATATCCTATTTTATTTTTAATTTAATAATTTATTTATTATTTTAATATAAATGCATAAAAAATATATAACAAATTGATTTTTTATTTGTTATCATCCGGATCGGTAAACCTACGTTAAGAGATTCCAAACGTCTCATTAAGAAGAAGATGATCATTGAACCGACGTGATTTACTCCACCCCGGCTCAGGCGACGAACCGGACCAAACTACCGAAGACCGAAGTGGTCAGCATCTACCGAGGTCAACATAAACCGAGATTGTCACCTCCTTAAGCAGGTGACAAGGTACCTACGTACAACCATCCTACTCCACAAGATCCGTCATCATTTATGTGGGACCCCCTGCCTCAAAACCGCCCACAAAAAGTCACTTTATTCAAAAAGTAGTGCACAGATCCCAATGTATCAACCCGAAATTACTATAAATAGCGGACCCATGACATTTGTACGGGGATCTCTCTCCGAACTGAAAAAACTTTATTAAGCAACACGTAAAAGCCCATCACGGCTCTTCACCTCGGTTCACCTCGGACCGGGGCCATTGTTGAGTAAATCTTACATGCTTTACGTCCAAATCATTCAAAATTACCCACTTAATCACAAGCTACATCGTTGTTAGAAATCACATAACAACAGTTTGGCGCTAGAAGGAGGGCCTCATAAGTGATTTGAGGTTAATCTCTGCTTTTTCACATAACGGTTCATACCAGCCATATCCACCATGTCTCACTCAGATCCTCGTGGTCACACGTCGCTAGACGGCCACAGTCGTAGCGCAGCGCAATCCGCCAGACGACAAGCCGTGGCTCCACCTGTGCCGGATTATGCTGTTCTGTTTCAAAATCCGGAATTTGCGCGTGGTTTTGCCGCTTTAATGGCCCAAACGATGCCGGGAACATCGACAACTGCTCCGGGACACTCCATCATTCCCACAACCCCCGCAAACCGACAGAATCCACCGGCGCGACAAGACGGCGGAAGGACAACATCTCATGCTACATCTCAACCTCGTGATCGAATGTCACAACCGCCTCCGGAACAAAATACACGACGCACTGACGCCGGGCGTAATCCTCCTATGCTTCCTCAAGAAGAAACTGCCGAAAGCCGGTCGGGTCATTTACGACGGTCACCGCCTCATACACAACGCCGAAACCCTTCCAATCCGGCGCAGACCGACCTCCGACAGCATATTGAATGGAATCGGGCTCGTCAAGAGTCGTCCAAACTCGAAACACTGCGACGACGAATAGCCGAATTGGAAAGTCGGCAACGGGTACCTGAGGATCCACCTCGGCGAGCCTCCACCTCGGCCCAGGTGTATTTGGAAGCCGATTCTCCCCTTACTCCGGAACTCACTTCGGAACCAGTTCCTGGAAAAGTTAAGGTTCCCCAGATCGGGCTATATGATGGAACATCTGACCCGGACTCACACCTCGGTCATTACACTTCCTGGATGGATCTGCATGGGGCCTCAGACGCACTTCGGTGTCGTATGTTCTCACTAACACTGGGGCCTCGGGCCCAAAAATGGTACCATTCTCTTCCTCCTCATTCAATCTGGAAGTGGCAACAATTAAGGTCGGCTTTTCGATCTCATTTTATCGGGGCCCAAGTATGCCTTATCCCGAAAGAGTCTCTTGCCAATATCACTCAAAAAGATGATGAAAGCGTTAAAGATTATATTGCCCGTTTCAATGACCGAGTTCAGAATATGGAACCTTGTCATCCCGAAACTTTGCTTGTTATGGCTATTGCTGGATTGAAGCCAAATTCGATTTTCCGCTGGACGCTATGCCAAAATAAACCGAATACTTTTCAAGAATTTCTCGCTCGATCCCAGCAGCATATCATAGCGGAAGAAGACATGTCGGTTCCCGATTTTAACTTTAACTCGAAGTCTTCTAAGGCGGGAACCGACGAAAAAAGGAAGAATAAATTTTTCGACAAGCAAAATAAGACTCAATTCAAGGGGCCTCCCCGGGGAGACCCCAACGATCCTGAAGTCCGAGCGGCCCGAAAACAGTACGCGACCGACGTGAAGTCCGGTTATCAAACTGTGTACTCGGCGGGAGCAGCTACTATTTATGAAGAAATCAAAGGGAAGGGCATTTTGCCAGATCCCAAGCCACTTCGGATGTCTGAAGAAAAACTGGACAAGTCCCGATATTGCGATTATCACAAGTCGCCCGGGCACAACACGGACGAGTGTTTGAGTTTGTTGGCCGCATTGTTGCGATTAATCAGCCATCCGCAGCTTAGGAAATTTTATCGTAATACTGATTCCCAGAGGCGAGGTCCTGGACGTCAGATCGAATCCTTCGATGATGAAGACGACGAGGAAGACCGAGGTGCTATGACAAAACGCATCCGACAGGGGGATAAGGAAGTATTCATGTTTACCTCGGGGACTTCCGATTCTAACCCTGCTCAAATTTCCCGAGGACGTAAGCGAGATTGGTCTCCTGAACCAATGCAAATCACTGTCCATCGGGTCAATACCAACAACTCCCGGAGTACATTGTCCCGCCGACAGGTCAAGGCGTATGCCCGACAAGCTCACAACTCCGGTAAACAGGTTTATACCACCGATTTGAGAGATGTTCTCAACAATCGGAATTGCCCTATAACCTTCAATATGGAGGACGCGAATCATTTCGCTCATCCTCATTCCGACGCCCTGGTCATTACTGTTCCAATATGTGGTATTCCGGTTCATCGTGTCATGGTGGACACTGGGGCCTATTCAAGTATTTTGATGCTGAAAGCTTTTGACAAGATGGGTCTTGACCCCGCCGAAATCCGACCTTGCAACGATCAAATCCAGGGGTTTAATGGCAGTATTTCAAAACCCATCGGAGAAATCACTTTGCCTGTCAGATTTGGCACCTCGGAGAATGTCACCAAACTCGTCATGGAGACTTTTAAGGTTATGGATATTAATAACGAGTACAACGCCATCACCGGCAGAACGGCATTGTACAAACTTCGGGCTGCAGTCTCTATCTTTCACTACGCATTAAAGTTCCCAACAACCCGGGGAGAAGGGACCCACTTCGGAGATCAGAGAGAAGCCCGACAACTTGTTACGTTCATCCCATCTCATGGAGTTCACTCAGCCTCAACGAGTAACAATGAAGCCTCCCCACAGCACCACTCTCCGGACGATGCGATGACCGAAGAACCAAGCGACCACATCGGCGAGCCTTCCACCTCGGATCCTTTAACCGAAGACCGAGGTCGCCGACCTGGAAAAGAACCACTCCTTGAAGAAGACGAGTTGGACCCCAGAGCATTTTTTAAAGAAAAAAGTCGACCTGATCGAGCCGAACCTGGAGAAGACGTGGAGTTAGTCTATATCGATGAACCAGTCTTCTACAAGTCATTGCGCATCGGAAGTCATCTTCAGGAACCACTTCGGTCAGAACTAATTGCGTTTCTCAAGCAGAATTCTGATGTTTTTGCCTGGAAGCACGAGGATATGAAGGGCATCGACCCCGGTGTCTCTAGCCACAAACTAAACCTCGATCGAACAGTCCGGCCTGTTGTACAAAAGAGAAGGAAACTGGGGCCGGATCGTCAGAAGGCATTGGAAGAAGAAGTCAAAAAACTCGTTGACAATAAATTCATCAAGGAAGCCAAATACCCGACGTGGGTCTCAAATCCAGTTCTCGTCAAAAAGAGTAACGGGTTGTGGAGATTGTGTATTGATTTTTCTGACCTTAACAAGGCGTGCCCAAAAGACAGTTATCCACTTCCCCATATAGATTATATGGTTGACGCCACGTCGGGACATGAGTTGATGAGTTTTATGGACGCTTACTTCGGCTACAACCAGATTCCTATGGACCCCGAGGACTCTGAACATACTTCATTCTATTCGGCCAGAGGTTTGTATTGTTACACTATGATGCCGTTCGGATTAAAGAACGCCGGAGCCACATATCAACGTCTTGTCAACAAAATGTTCGCAACATTGATCGGACACACTATGGAAGTTTATGTTGATGACATGCTCGTCAAGTCGGTGCATGCCTTTGATCATATAACGTATCTTCGAGACATGTTCGCCATCCTCTGATCTTATTCCATGGTGCTGAATCCGAAGAAATGCACTTTTGGAGTCGAATCCGGAAAGTTTTTAGGCTATATGGTTAGACAGCGCGGGATTGAAGCCAATCCGGCCAAAATAAAGGCCATTCAGGATCTAACTCCCCCAACCTCGGTCAAGGGTGTCCAGGCCCTAACTGGCCGACTTGCTGCACTCAACCGGTTCATCTCCAAGTCTACAGATCGTTGTAAGCCTTTTTTCGAAGCAATTAAGAAAGGGAAACGTTTTGAATGGACTGACGAATGCCGAAAAGCTCTTGACAATATCAAGGAGACGCTGATCTCTCCCCCGACTTTGCAAAAGCCGAAACCCGAGGAGATGTTATTCTTATACCTCGGAGTTAGTGAATCTGCCATTAGCGCTGTTTTGATACGCGAAGAAGGATTGCTGCAATCACCTATCTATTATGTCAGCAAGGCCTTGCACGATGCCGAACTACGTTATCCTCCGATGGAAAAGTTAGCGTTTGCACTTGTGATGGCAGCCCGGAAATTACAACCATACTTCCAAGAGCATTCTATAACTGTTCGCACTTCGTATCCACTTCGGCAAATCTTGCACCGACCAGACTCCTCGGGACGCATGGTTAAATGGGCCATTGAGCTCGGACAATTCGATATCCACTATCAATCGAGAACCGCAATCAAGGCTCAAGCCTTATCCGACTTTATCGCCGAGTTTACCCCGGCCATCGCAGTTCACTATAATAATCAACCATGGGTCCTCTATATTGATGGCTCTTCAACAGCCAACCGAGCAGGTGCAGGGATAGTCTTGGCTGATCCAGAGAATCGGTTATTCTGTCATTCGGTGAAATTCCTCTTTCCGGCAACAAATAATGAAGCCGAATACGAAGCGCTGCTATCCGGATTGAATTTGGCAGAGTCCATGAACGTGACCCACCTCAAAGTCTTCTCAGACTTACAGCTCCTTGTTAATCAAGTCAATGGTTCATATGAAGTCAAAGAACCTCGGTTGACACCCTATCTCTCTTTGGCCAAACGGAAATTATCAAAATTCTCCGCCGACCTCGAGCATATCCCCCGAACTCTCAATGTTCAAGCAGATGCCTTATCTCGACTTGCGTTCAGTACCGGGATGGAGAGCGCGGAGTACATCCAAATCGGCCAACAAGAACAACCATCAACTGCCCTTTTCGAGGTCACGACCATCAACCCAGTAGCATCGCAAAAATCACCAACTTGGATGGATCCTATCATCCACTACCTAGAAACTGGGGCCTTACCTCCGAACCCAAAAGAAGCTCGAGCACTTCGGATTCGAGCAGCTCGGTACACATTAGACAACGGAACTCTGTTCAAAAGGGGATACTCCGTTCCACTTTTGAAATGCGTAAGTGAAATTGATTCACGGTACATTCTTGAAGAAGTCCACTGATTGCCACTCTCCACCGATCCACAACCACTCCTCCTGGAAACCGTGGAGACTCTCCGGAATCTCAGTCACTATTTCTCCGACTTTAACACCATGTTGCGGT